ACGAGGGTGGGGTCTCACACCCTATTATGTGAAAATCTTTTGTGTTTCTATTCTAGAACGCATGAGAATGAGATTCACATTAATAAATGCACATGATATCTGCCTCAGTTATATGTTTAGAAGTGAGAAAATACGGTAAGAAAATGAAATTATACAAAGCATTTTCTTTAATAGGTTTGTGTTTTATTTGTCTCTTTCAATTTTCAATTATCTTGTGTTGTATAATTTATTGCAATTTAATTAATATTGTTCAATTCTTGAAGCTAATTCATTTTGTGATAACCAAATTGTAAAACTTGCATAAATTCAAAGTGGGCACCAATACCTGTTGAGGGAAAAGATTTTTTTATTTTATTTCCTTGTTCGTTACTTGTCAGGAAATTTTTTTTTTATTTTATTTTAGTGGCAGTCTTCGAGTTTGATGGTGAATTTTGAGCAAGTAGGGTTTGAATCAGCCAGGGATACCTCTAATGTGGCGAAATTTGACATTTCAATTTTTTTACTAAAAAAACAATTTGGAATTGAATTTTCTGTCATTTTTTCTCGGCAAGCAATCTAGTGTTGAATTTTTACCACAATAAAACACGTTAGTGAATGATATAATTTAACGTTAAGTTACAATTAAAATAAAGTAATATAAAAATAATATTTTTTATTATTTTAAAATTAGTATAGACTTTTTTAGTCATTATTTATATAAGTTGGCTAAACAACTCAATTATCAAAAATAATATTAATAAAATAAATTAAAAACTCAAATGAAATTAATTGAGATGTACGTAAGTTGATCCAAATATTCCAATTATCAAAATACATACTTAATAAGATGAATTAAAAAATTCAAATGGAATGCACGGGATTTGAACTTACAACTTCTCAAGGCATATTCATTGGCCATGGATGATTGAATTCGTTGCTTAAAATGTCAAAATTTAACAACTTTACCTCAAAAATTGACACTTAGAGATAGAGAGAGAGTGCTTATCCAATAAAAGAACATTATATATAACAAAAGAATGTTCATTTAGTCCAAAAAAAATCATTTTTTACCCTAACAATCCTAATAACTACAATACTACCCCCCCCAAAAAAGGCAACTCTTGTATGTGGTACCACTAGTTTCAAAATCTAAGAAAAAATAAAATATATATAATGTACAAATAAATTCCTTCATTCAATTCTTTAATGACAAACTTTCAACCGAACCTCACACTGGCTCGCCTTGCCACATTCCATGCCTTGTGAGGCGCAGGGACACCTGCTTGTGAAGCAAAAAAGACTCATTACCCGTGAATCAAAAGAAAATCTAGTGTGCCTGGATTCTCTCGTGGAAGCTTGTGCGACACCAAAGCTCCTTGGCATCATTTGGTGTAAGCTGGTTCCCAATCTCCAGCAACCCGCACGGCTATTGTCGGGTTCTTGCCTATGAATTCTTGAAATAATCTGATAATCATAAGGAAAAACCATCTCTGAACCCTGAGGCAAATAACAAAAGTTCATAAATGTATTATACCAAATTATAAAGCATCAAGAGTCATATTTATACAAATTTAATGAAATTTTAAAAAGAGTAAGGATTTGACATGAATTTTCTTTCCTAAAAAAGTACTTAAAACAAGTTTTAAGGACAAGTTAGAATTTTTTCAAAAATTTAGAAAAGAAATGAATAAGATTTGAGTTTCCATACCAGATCAAGCTTTTAGCCAATTTTCACTCAAATTTGATTAAAAAAAGAGAAAAAGAAGAAAGAAAAAATAAAAGAGAAAGAGCAAGGATCAGAGATGCTCTAAATGTAAATACTCTGAATCGAAGTGTAAATACTCTAAATTGGTATTATACAAATACTAGGGGCTTCCACAATGAAATCATTAATCCAAATCAATGGCACAAAAACTCACATTATAAATCAACATTAAAAAGAAAGAATGCAAGTACCTAACATCATTGGCACCAATCACCAATACTAAGTGTTATTTTCTGTGCACCTTTCTTGACTAGTCTCGTCACCTGCAAATAGCATCAAGTTTTTCCAATTTCACCCTAAATATTAAAACTCGAGTCAGGGACTACTCAACTAGCAAATAGATCCACTTGAATAGTTGATAATAAAGCAAAGTTTGGGGCTATTAGGAAAACCCGCAAACATCTAGTTGGATTACAATTCTTTTGACCAGGTAGAGCTATGTTAAAGAGAGAAGGTAACATAACAGTTCACAAAGCATACTACAAGATAGGCAAGAAAACAGGACACATTAAACCATGCAAAGTTGGTTTCTCTAAAAACCAAACAGTGTGTTGCCCTGATCCAAATTTTTTTCTTTTCTTAACACCCTCTTAAAATTTTCAGAACTTTGTGATCAATACAAGCAGCCCTTCCAAAAAATGTTATCAAATTGAGCTGTAATTGGTTTTAAAAGAAAAAATAATAATCATCAATTGAAAAATAAATAAATAAATTATAGCAGTTGGTCTTTTAAGAGTATAACCTGCCACCCAATTAAATTCCCAACCTTGATTTCAATATGCTACTTTGCTAACCAAATATATTGTTTATTGAAGAAGAAGCAAGCATTGCAATAATAAACCAACTGACGAGGTATTTAGCAAATGTTTCTTAGCATGTCGTTAAAAGTTTAGACTAGAATTCGTATACCATTAACTGTAAAAATGATTTTTTTTGGTTTTTTATTTTAAAAAGCCCAAGCATGGAAAATTTTTTGCATTGCACACTGGATTAATAAGTTCAAACTCAAAGTATACTCCAATCATAGTATAAAAGATCATAAAGTCACATACTCCTTTCAATGCCAACAAAACATATTTCACTCATATATATCAGGTGGACCACAATGACAATCCTTACCTGTGCTTTCTGTAAAGGAGAAACTTGGCAGCAAACTACTGAACTACAATTCAAGCTCAAATTCAGTAGCTTTCTGTGAGAGGGATGTGGCTGGAATTGTGTTCCCTAAATTTCTCTTTAACATATTGAACGCTCTGAAAAATGATTTTGATGTATTTACATGAAAAATCAAACTAGACAAGAAAGCTCCTTACTCTGCTTTTCTACTTCTATAATTTCATCAGTTTCTGAAAAACAGAGAAGTATGATTTAAGTTGTTACTAATAAATAAATAAATAAGGAAACAACATATCTATAGTAAGAAATTTTTTTTTTTAAATGATGCCAAAACTCTTTTAAATACTAACCATAAGCCATATTAATGGCTGTTTCCATCTTGTCCCCTGTTAGAACCCAAATCTTGATTCCAGCTCTAGAAAGAATTCCTATACAAACAACAAAAGCATTCACCAAAAAGTGTAATCATCAAATAATCAAGACACCAGTTTCAGTCATGTGTTGTGACATGAGTGTATCCTAGGGATCAAGCAACACACACAAGCCATTTGAAGAGCTCCCAACAGAAATAAAACTACATTAAACTATTTTTCAACTACATATTGACAGCAATCACAACACTTTGAATCTTATACAATATACAGTATATAGCCATAGATGAGCTGGCTTCAACAGCTACAAAAAAATATATAGAAAATAAATACCAGTTGATGTGCTGAATTATCATATAGCAACAATCATTCTATTTTTGTCAATTAAACTCATATACCTTGCACATGTCAGGATTAGGTTCAAAGATTCAAAGGCTTCTCAAAGTCATCGTATAAAAGGAACACAACTCACCTGAAGAGAAATTTAAATATATGTTCCAAGGGGTTGACATTCTTGGTAAGAAATCATCCTAGAAACATTAAGTTGAGATGGCATGTTAGTACACTATTGGAGCAATATTCGCTAGATAAATTTAACCCATACTCAAAAACTCAACAACCAATTAAACAAAAGTTAAGAGTTGAGTGATGTGAAATTTTATAAGAGTGTTCCTAACTATTTTCTAATTATATTTTTGGTAATAATAGCCACATGCATCCACATACATTCACTTCAACTTGCCGCATTCAAAAATTTAAAATTACACATCACAAACAAGAAGAAACGATAATCTAGACCCTTTCATTAATATGGAAAATCATATTGGCAATTTAGCATACATTCTAGAAGAAACTATTTAACATTAATTTTTCTTTAAATTTCTTAAAGAATATATTGCATAAATTGATAAAATGTTCAACTATTTTTTTTTTAATTGTATTAAAGACTCCTATATGTAAATCCACAACAATTGACAAATTAATGTTTATAAATTATAAATCCAGAATGGTACACCAAAAGGTAGTGGTATGCTCATGATAACTAATTGATACACAGCTACTTCACCTAAAATTCCGATCGAATATGAGAAACTTAACCTTCTAGGTTGGAGAAAATTTGGAAGAGACATACAAACTACTAGCTTTTCCTTTGAAACTTATAATCAATTGAAATGATATAGCTCTTAACACTACACTTCCCTGTAAGTTAAGTTCAATAAGTTAGAACAACTTACCTTGTTCATAAGATTTTTATTTATATTTGTGAATGGGGGGACTACTACTCAAAATCGGGCAATTGTTTGGGATTAAATGTAGTTATGGTAGTTTATTAGCTTGAAACAGGAAAACACTATCAATTCAGATAATTTTTTCTTCATGATAATTCCAGGTCAGCTATCATACTGTTCAGATGGTTGTCATGTTTTCCCATCAAAATAAAATCACCATTGAAACAGCATGTAGCAGTAACAGATCAGAAGCAAATTTTCATAAATGCCATCTAACATTAAGAAAAACTTCTTTTTAATCACACATCATACCTTCAGTTTCACCTATTTGCTCACCAGTTTTATCCTTGATCTGCACAGATTAAAATCAGTATCATTAGAAGAATTTTTGTTTGGAAGTAGAGAGTTAAATATGATGTTTTTTTTTTTTTGGGATAAATAATCAAACTTTATTAAAAAAAGCATCAAGGTGATACAAAGAGTTAAATATAATTTGAGAAAGCTAGATAAACAAAATTATTCGAGACCTCCATCCAATAGGGACTAAATTGGGTGTACCATTTTTTTAAAACAGAAAAAACAAATGGATCAAAAGGCTTATTTAACTAGTTAAACAAATGGACTTTACACTCAAACGGATCAAATAAACAGATTTCAAATAAAAAATTAGTCTCATATCAGTTACATGAGTACAAAATTCAATTACCCACACACTAGATCTCACACACAAGCCAAATTTCAAGTATATACATATATATGGAGTCAACACAACTACCAAACATAAAAAACTTAAACCTATTCAAATCATATTTTCCTAATTTTATAAACCAACCTAGTGAGTTCACAAAGGTGAAAGGGGTAGTTTCGAAGAAGGGGATTTCGGTCTAGGGTTTCATAGAAAGGAGATGGAGAAAGGGAGAGAAACAAGTTGCAGAGCGAGTGAGAGAGAGAGAGAGACATACATTGAGGCATGCAGCTTGCTAAAACGAGGAAAAGAAAAGGGCAGAGGAATAAACTCACTCTTCGGTGCTTGGCGAGGAGGAGCTCTGGCGAGATCCTATAGAGATCTTCGTCAACAGCTTTGGGAGCTTTTCTCTGTGGTGGAGGATGCGGCGGCAAAAGCCAAACAGGTCTCGGCGGTGGCAAGGGCAGCGGCAACGACCGAGAGAGAGAAATTTTTGAGGACGTTTGGGAGTCTAAGGGATTTGCCATGGAAAGAGGGAATTTTGATTTTCACTTCCAAATTTTTGGAGGAAATTATTTGGGGGAAATGATGTAATAATCATAATAAAAAAATCAATTAATTTAGAGTCTTATAATAAAATAAATTATTAATTTATAATTTTATCAATTTACACTTAATTCTTTTTATTTATTTTTAATATAAATCATCATCTATTTTTATTAAGGAAAATTAATAATAAAAAAAAGTATTTTACTCATCAACTATAAAATGTATAATCACACTATAAATTGGCGTAAACATAATAGAAAAAATTTCAGGTAGCGTTTGGTAACTTTTACATTTTTTGTTTATGTTTACAAAAATTTTATAAACTGATTTTTGTTTATTTTTAGAAAAATATAAATTACAAGCGTGTTTGGTTGAACAAAATGTTAAAAAAAATTTAAAAACATAAACTAAAAAATATGTTTGTTCAAGCGTAAAATATTTATATTTATATTTATTATTTATGACAATAGGATCATACACATTATAATTGAAAACAAATTATTTGAAAAAAAATTAATTAAAAAAAAATTGACAAAAAATTAATTGGGAAAAAAATATTTGAAAAAAAAATTAATTGAAAAAAAAATTATTTCAAAAAAAATAATTGAAAAAAATGAAAAAAAAAAGTTAATTAAAAAATTAATTGAAAAAAAAATTAATTGGGGAAAAAATATTTGAAAAAAAAATTAATTGAAAAAAATTATTTGAAAATTGAAAACGTAAACTCATTTTTTGAGTTTATGTTTTTCCCTCAAATTTATAAACTGAGACAACCATTTATAAACCACGACTTAAGCCATGGAACAGATAAACACAGAATGTAATGACAATAATTAAATAATTTAATCCACGAGTTAAGCCATGGAACAAAAAATGAGAGTTAGAGAAGATTAAAGATTAACCAATAAAGCGAAAGAAAGGGAATATGAGAAAGAGAGACTGAACGGACTTATCGCCTGTGAAAATAATGTCAAAGATGGTGTTGTTTTCGATAAGGAACATCAGAGATATCTACAGTGACAGTAAGGAATGAGGGAGATGTTTGACGGACGAAGAGAGTTGAGATAATAGAACAGTACAACAAAATGTGAATTTATTTTCAACAGTTCTATAACATATGTACAATGATA